CCGATTTGAAGTTAAAAAAATAATAATATTAAGTTGTTTTTATAATCTTAAAATAATAACAACAAAACAATCTGGCCACACCGCCATATTTGGCGTCTTTCAAGTTGTTATTAATTATTACAATGCAAGTGAAATATAACAGTTACGACATGACATAATATCATCTACTGATGAATAACCTCATAATTGCTAGGTGGACGGACCATCATTCTTCATTGCATGCCAAGCCGCTTGGAGAAGAGACAAATGAGCAGACACACCTCTTGGACAAAGAAGGTCCTCATAAGTAACAACCGGCTTTGGCCATCGTCGTCGAGAAAGAGCATCAGGTAAACAGGGAAGGAGGTAGAGAACGTCGGAACGCGAAAATGTTGAAGCAAAGTAGAAAATGATCGTGAACAACCCTCATGGTTTGAAGTCCTCACGAATCTGAGATTTCCAAAAAGCTAATTGGAAGCATTACTTCGAAATTGAATCACCAGCCTGAACTAGTAATAGCATGCTAATTTTATTGTTATCTCTCTTTTATAAATAGCTTGACAAACAATATATTATTTATTGGAAATATAATAAATTTAAAATCTTTGAATTCAGTTTTAACATTATCCGCAAATAAAACATGAAACAGAATATTTCATAAAATAAGTCAAAAGGATATAATTTTCAAATAAACCAATGTGTTGGGTACATAAGATTATGTTTGTTCAACTCCGGTATAATCCACTGTAGCTGCAGATCTCTGAAATTGATACGAAAGTCAATGCAAACTTTGCAGAGTGTTTGACTCTAACAAAGCATGCTTATCCCGCATAGGAAGAACTAATTCATGATATCCGATTGTACATTCACTATTGTTGATCCAATCAATGTTGTTGGTTGTTTGTACGACGGAGCAATAAATTGTTACGTTGTAACTATTGACAACTGATAATAAAAGTAAAAAAAAAAAACGATTTTAGCCTTGTTGTTAAGAGGAAAAATTTCTGTATAGCTTAAGTTATGTTTTTAAAGTTTATTCTATTTACAGAAAATACTTCATACACTCTCCACAATACATCTAGAAGAAAAAATCACTTCTGTTTTATTTTTCACATTGTGCATTATACATATTATAACAGTGATAACATTGTATTTTTAAGATGAGCTGGAATACATTTATAAAATTAGTGATAATGAAACATAAAGAAAACAAATGGAAATATAAACTTTTCAACTGCTTTATATATAAGTAAGATTTAAGGTAGATCGGAGCCATGAATGGCAGTAGAAATATTTTTATTACCTCCGCCTTGGAAAATGTCACAAATCCAAGAGAATATCCCATGCATAAGCCCTCTTATGGATGTTGAGAAATTATTCTGGGGACACAGATTTGAATACTATAAGCCTTCTCTTATAGATGCGGGATTCAGGGGTTAAATCCCTTATCGGAAAAGAATCAGTGATTCTGCCGGATGTCTTCCTTCTCTGCGCACTTCACAAGAAACCTAATTTGTTCGGGTATGAAATAAGGCTATGAATAGGATAACAATAAATTTTTTAAACTTCCATATATATATATATATATATATATATATATATATATATATATATATATATGTGTGTGTGTGTGTGTGTGTGTTTGTGTGTATGTGTATTGCAAGAATGTGAACTACCTCCAGTAAAAAATTCATGAAATCAACTAAGTTAAATAAATAAAACTAAGTTAAAGCTACTAATGCAATAGCATCAAACATATTATATAAATTCTATAATTCTATAAAGCATAGCATATAAATTAGTATATATTGTGGATTATTGATCTTAGCCAACAATTACACCTTTAAGATTACTGCAATTCGTAAAAATTAGTCCATTACGTAGAAGAATCTATTTAACAAGCTTACCCGTGTGAATACCCGCACAAACCTAACACTTGTGTCTGATTTTAATACATTAAGGGTTCAACATAATATTTAATATTTAGATTATTAATATTTTTTTTTCTGTAAAATATGGTTATATTTTACCATTTTCGGGGAGCTTCAGCCTAAAAGCCCCTTCCCCCTGTAGATCTGCCTGTGCATTCAATGATGTGCAACGGTTTAATACATATATTTAGTAAGCCATCAGTAATAAATATGATTTGGAATCTGTCATGATTCAAACATGAAAACGTGAAAAACTTCATTAATAATGATCTAAAAGTAAACGCAACAGTAATTGAAGGACATTGGCAAACATTCCAAGAAGTGTTTAAAGAAAGACTCATTTATATAAATAAAAATAAAATTAATAATTTAATTAATTAAAAGAATAAAATGCTTTAAAGCTAAAAAAATATTACTAATTGATGCATTACATAGTGTACCTCCGAACAAAAGGGTCAATTCTCAAAATATTAAATTCCCATATGCAACAGAATCTCTGCAGTACAACAAATACTAAATGTTCAGAACGTTATAACTCTACACCAGCTCGTACGATTTCGATGATTTTTTTAAAAGTTTTGTAGGGAATTCAGTAAGCTTTCAAATATTCATTGCGTAATTTTCGAGTCTTTCGCAAATTATGAACTAATTTGTAAGGTCACTATCTGTTGAGGCGGCAACATCATATGGTTTGAAACCTCCCACTTCTATATTCACTTTTATTTAAGTCCTGGCATAAAATTAGGAATCGAAATTACGATTTGCGCATTCTATGTGATATTCACTTTGTATTGGTACCTCATTCGTCAAAAACCATCAATCCTGAGAGCCGGAAAAGGGATATATATTTCAGAAATAGTATATAAGATTATATAACTTTTCGAAAATTTTGTTAAATGAAAATGGCAGAGGAGAATTAATTCAACAAATTATCCTCGCAATAGTTTTATTTTATTTATAACTCCCTGTAAGAGTTGCAACGTGATCTGTTATTCTCGTACCCCAAACCTCGTACGGTTGCTCATTGAAAACTCGTATTATTGTCGGCTCAATGCTATTGTTTCTTCCTAGACAAATTAAATCAATATCCAATAGCTAATTTTAAAGCCTATTTACATTTTTTTTTTTTTTTTTTATGTTGATGGGTAAAGAAGTAGAATGAGTTTAATTTAAGCTACGAAACAACTGTAATAATGCATATAGAAATGTGCTTATATTTTTAGAAATTATTGAAATACAACCTTTAAAAATTATAATAGCAAAATAAACCTTTTATTCCTATCATCATTTTAAATTATCAGAATTATGTAATTTCACTATTTTTACTTTACACGTCTAATATCGAAAATATTTTTTTAAAAATGACGCTAACAATTTTTATTTTATTTTCTGTATCTAGAAAATTAAATTATAAAGGTAAGTTTTATGATGATAATAATAATCATACTTCATATTTTCTTATATTTTATTTTATACACGATAGAAATCGAAAATATGTTTTGAAAATGGCTGTAACAATATCTTTTTAAATTCTTATCTAGAAAAAAGATAAAAAAATGTATATACACAACTTTATGAAGGAAATAATAATCATACTCCAATCGAAGTAGGTATAATTGCTATTTATTTGATCATAAAGCAACTACAGTTAAGTATTACGTATTAATATACATAAAGACACAGTAAAAATAATTGTAAAATAAATCTAATATTTATTCATTATTTTTTTAATAACACCACCTTCGTCAAACTCTAAGCTCCTGAGAGCCGGTAAAGTGATCTCTTCATCTGTATTATTTATGTTGTAGATTATATAATATATAACAAAACATGATGATTACATTATATAGGTACTAAAGCTACCAGATAATATCGATATTGTATTATGAATTAGAATTCGGAGACCACAAAATGTTAAGTTACAACCTTTCATTAATTTCAATATAGAAATTACTTATCTGACATTTGTATTATTTACTTATTTAAATATAACTTAATGAAGTTAAAATATTTCCTACATAATCATTTCAATGTTTGTTTTTAAAACACCTGTTGTTCTAGTGATAAGAAGAGGGTGTTATAACACCTACTTTCTACCCTCATTAACGCATCTACATAATTATTGTCAGCTGCCATCCGTTATCAATCGGCCCAACATTCGGTCTGATGTATCAGTTCAAAAATCGATTGGAGCAACATTCAAATATTTCAGAGTGCATTGTTATATATAAATATTTAAAAAAGAAAATTATTTTTGTACGAAGAAAACTGATAAAAATTCAAAGAACCTCTTAGCTATTCAGATTAATGTTGTTTTTTTCCCATTGCTTCTGAGAAATTTATCTAATGCATAGAGTAGCAAACAAGCAACTGTAAAAAATAAAACTGATGGGTTGTGTATCATATATATATGTGTGTGTTTGTATAAGGAAATATTAATTAGCAAGAGATTTCATTGATTAGCCTGTTGATAGCAACCGCGGTCAGCTGATCGTCAGAGGTATAGGTCAGTTAAATTACGTCATAAAAGTCGACGTCATCGTCGGCCAAGGCACGGCGCAGTTATGACGTATGTACCACGCCGGCAGAAAAAAGTCTGGCCTATTATTAAAATCTTCTTTATTGAGAAATATTCTGCCTCAATTAAACATAACTAACTATAATACAAACTTATATAGCACTAATTAAAAATTTAGTAAAACTAGAATTTTCAATTTAGATATCTATCTTAATATTTTCTCTCTCACCCTGTGCCCTCTAAATAAAAATATTTAATTTAAAATGTATTTCATTATCATTAGCTTTATTAAATTTATGTTTATTTAGTAGAGCTTAGAGAGGTTTGAAGGTATCGTGTTTGGCAGCCGTACGACGCAATGGCTCACATCCCAGTAAAATTAGCACAAAAAAAAGTGATCTAGTTTATAAAAGATCGGGTAATTTAAAATTCTTCTTTTTTTTATGGTGGGTGCAGTGACTATAAAAAATCCAATTGAAAGACTTGGATTCGTTGCAGTGCACCAAAAACTATTGAAATTTCGAACTTTTTTTGGTTTACTCAAAATATCTCCTTTTTGTTCCAAAAGCGACATGGATAATGGTTAAAATTATCTAAAATTTTTGTACATAACATTTTAAACCCAACAGGAAGTGAACTATAGAGCTTTCAAAATGGGTAAAAAAAAATTAAAAAATTGACGATTCAATTATTGTATTAATATTTGTTCGTTAATACAATCAAATATTAATACAATCACAAAAGCACTGTAACTATACCATTTATGAATATTTAATGATATGGCAGAGGACTCTAGACGTCTATGCCAGTACCGCTTTTCCGCCGATTACATTTATTTTCTAAGTAACTGCTTCAAATATTTTTAAAAGTAATCAGTTTTTTAGAAAAAAATAATGTATTTTCCGGATGTTTTATTTCCGGACGTTTTCGGTTATTGTTGTTCGTTTATTTACAAAAGACGCTAGGTTTTTAACTTTAGTTTGAATGGCTTGAAAACTTGACTTTACTGATGTTTTTTATTACCAAGGCCGTCTATCGATTAATATTTGTTCATACTTTATTATTCTCTAACTATTCAGCTTTAATAAAAGGCCAATTGTGACGAAATTAAGACAAGTTCCGAATCACAGTGACCGAGAAATTTACTCGAGTCAGAGACGTCAATCTGTCATGTTGGGTCAGTGCAGCCTCTATTTTTTATGGCAACATTGTTTTGTTTTTTTAATAAATAGTTATACAATTATATGCAATTTATTGGGATGTGGGAGGAGGGTGGATGATAAGGGAGGTCTGGCTCACCGTATAACATGCTTTTCAAAACACTTACCAACTACTGTATACCGTTCCAGTCAATGGCTCATTATCTTCAAGAAAAACTTCCGAATTCCCTTGACCAGAATTCAAAATGGAATTGCAGAATTCTTCCGTTCAAAACTGAAAGAGCACTATTTTGAAGAAATCGAAACTGGTAAATTTTGAAAGATCGATAGTTCGCTTCCTGTTAGGTTTAGAGAAAAATGTTATATACAACAAAGTTAGGAAATTTTGAATGTTGAATTTAACATTTTTTATCCATGTTGCTCTAAAATGCAGATATTTAGCGTAAACCAAAAATAGTTCGAAAATTCAATAGTTTTTGGTGCACTGCAACGAACTTTTTTGTAGTCACTGTACACCTAACAATATAAAAAAGAAATTTAAATTACCCGACCTTTTGCAAGTTAGCAAGTCTAATTTGACTGAGCCATCAGGGCTTAGGCCACATCTCCCATACTCATTGTTATTTAAAGTTTTCAGCTTAATATGAACCCTTTTTTGTTATTTAAAAAAAAATCTTTCATGATTTCTATTCGAGCTTCATTTATTTCATTTACCAGTTAATAACCTATTTCCAAAAAAGCTGTAGTTATGAAATATTTTTTCACTTTCATCAACATCAACATCCAAAATCACAGATCAATTAATGTAAAATATTAGTGATGAGTTAGTTTTGTGAAGAAATATTCCAGAGATGCACTAAAAGTTAATAAAAATGTATAAAAAAACATTTTTTTCGTTCTTATTTATAAAAAAATGTATCAAAATTAATTTTTAGTTCATTCATTTAATTTTTTTTTTACAGAAAACTATTCCGTAAATTCTCCAGAAGAACTTGAAACCTACCTCGGGCACGCCAATAATGTTTGGGGATCCTCTCTCAGTTTGAAATTAGCCGATAAAGCAAGGTAAATCAGTTTTATATATTTTATTTATATTATGGTTAGTCATCATGTTATATCCAATTTGTTTATACATCGTTTCTTTTTTCAAAATATAATTAGGAGAAGATCAATATTATTATTTTAAGTAACGGATCATCAATAGCAACACAAAGGACTTCTTGAACCGTTTCATTGCCACTTTTAAGAGTAGTTTATGTCGCGAAAAAAAGTCATATAGTCCCTTTTCTGTAGGTTAAGTCCTTGTACAAGCTTCTGAGCCAACTTCGACTGAATATTTAATGGGCCACCTATTTCTTTAACATCTAACTACCACCTCTCAATTCAGTTAAATCTTTCACCTGTTACACAACTAATGGCTATTTTATCGTCAAAAATTAGATTAATATAGTGGTGTTAGAACAAAGGTATACTTTTTTTATAGACATAGTCAACTTAAGTTCTTATGTCATTCACAAGAAACTGAATTTATAATAAATAAATAATTTTCTAAGACTAAATATATAATAGAACCTGGATAGCCGAGCGTACTAAGATGCTTACAATAAGTAATCAAAGTTAAGCAACCTCGAGCGTGGTTAGTATACTTGAAGGGATGAACGCCCGAATTGGGTGACTTAGTGTTGCCCAAAATCGGTCTTGGTCTTGCACTTAACAAGACCAAGACCATGACCGCTTAACTGATTAGATTCTAGCAGGATCTGGGTAAAAGTAAAATCATTCCCGAGATTAAAAAATTCAAATATCTCGACTCCACAATAACTTCTATGAATGGCCAACAGGCGAAAATAGACCAGCGCACAATTACCGCAAACAGAGCTTTCTTTTCTCTTTCAAAGGTATTGAAATCTCAAGAAATCTTAAAGTAAGGGTGTACAATGCTATGATAAAGCCAGTACTAATATATGGCCCTTGAGATCTGGACACTAACCAGCATCCTAGAAAATATTGTTGAAAGATTTGAGAGAAAAATCCTCTGCACGATAACCGGAACTATCTAATATCAGAGTACTAAAGAAGAAAGACCTATAAAGAACTGCTTACAGAAACTGGTCAATCAATATTTCATGACAGGAAGGCACGGAGTTTAAGATGGGCGGGCCATGTAGCTCGTAGCAATCCATCTGGAAGCCGCTACGTAACAATGAATGTCTCAATAGAAGGCAAATGATCACGCGTCAGACCAAAAAGCAGATGGATAGATAGAATCTACAAAGATGCAATAGAGCTGCGCGCAGATAAATGGAAAGAAATAGCCCAAGACAGGCAGAGATGGAGCAGGATTGTTAATGCGGCAAAAGATCGACATGGTCTGTAATGCCAAAGGAAAAAAAAGTTATTAAATTCAAATAATTATTATATTTCCCGTATTTTAAACAAATTAAAACTAAATGAGTAGTTTTTTTGATTAGTCTGATGTGGAAATCACAAAAATGTCTTTTTGAAAAATACCACCTTCTGAATAATAGAATAATTTTTATGTCCTGGTAGCTTTTACAAATGGTGTACTGAGCAATATAGTTTTAATGAATCCTCCTCCGTTCTACCACAGCATAAGCTATGTTATTAGAACGTCGTTATGTTGTTTTATGAATTTGAAATATCAAACTTATCAAAAGATATTTTTCAAATGCTATTTACGAATTAATTACTGCCTTGTATTTGCTAAACAATTTTTGCTTATATGTATTTTCTCAACGGATTATGTACACTAATATTGAATGCGGTACCTACTACCTAGTTAGTATTTGAGGTACGTCATTTAATCCGCTGCACCTGTACAGATGAATGTTTGATATCTCCTAAAAAAAAAAAAAGAAAGACAATTTATTAAAAAATACGTTAAAGGTATCGTCTCATTGAAAAAAATAGTTTTTTTTTGCAATAAAGTTACCTTTCAATTAAGAAAACAAAATATATATAAAATAAAACATGACCCCTCTTGTGGAGCTACCTTTGGAGTCAGTAACCAGTAGTAAAAGAGAAATAAAAACTAAATTACTTGCTACTCAGAAGTTAATATAGGATTTATTTATCTATGTTACTTTTCAGCTTTACACAAAACACCATAAATGAACGTAAAAGGTCAAAAACCATGACAAACCATCCGATATTTTGCAATATTTAGCGATTTCCAATATCAGCTGAAATAAATGTTAAATTGCTCCTTTCGTGATGCTTATGCAACTTAAATCTATTCTTTCTTTAAAATCTGATTTTTTTTTTACATAATGTGTTAATATCCATTGTGTACATTGCAAAATGTTGTTAGCAAGGTCATATCGTTATCCCGTATTGTCGAAAGACGAGGAAGGGAGAGGGCGGTAAATAAATAAAAAGGATCATTTTGCCTTAGTCTGGAATGTTTATGGAATAAACACTGACGAATATTCATAAAACTATAAAAAGAAGAGCAATCGAATTGGCACTAAGAAATCTAAGGGTTCTCTCTTGACTTGGTCTCACTTCTGATCGGAATCAGAAGTAAGACGATTTAATAGGATTGAGAATAGGTTCATTTTATTTTATTTTGATTTACTTTACCAATAACAGTTCTAATTTTAAGTACCTGTCGATATTGAAAGAAAAGGATATTTGTAGAGTAATAGGTGTACCCTTACTTTCGAATGGTATAAGAATTTTCAATTCAATATTTATTATTAAAATATGTTTAAACTTCACTCCACTATCAATTTTGTGCCAGAATATCCACTATTCACTAGTAGTCTATGGCACAGACCCCTTTTAATCGCATTATTAATATCCGCCTGAAACTTCGTAAATAACATTCATCACATCGTAACCTACAACTATTTTATTTACGAAAACTCTTGGAATTGGTGCGTTTTCAATCTAGAGAGGGGTGTATTTTTTCTATTTAATTAGGTACTGAAAACTCGTAAATACGCATTTGCATTCTACTTTGATAGTAAAATAATTTGATCACAAAATAGATAAAAAAAAGATGGCCTACAAAAATGTTGGCCCGTTTGTCCTATATAACCTCGTTATTTTGAAAATTCGGGGGTGTAGGTCACGCCAAACGGCTCAATATTTTTGAATACCACCTTATTTCCCGATTTTGTGATCAAAGTATCTTACTATCCAAGTAGGAAGCAAATTGGTATTCACGAGTTATTAGTACCTAATTAAATAGCCAAAGTTTGCTCCCCTCTAGATTGAAAATGCCCCAATTTCGAGAATTTTCGTAAATAAAATATCTGTAGGTTACGATAAGATGAAGCTGTTTACGAAGTTTCAAGCGGATGCTAATAATTTGATTAAATGGGGTCGGTACCAAGCACTATATAGAGTTCAATGGCAGTAATTAAACAAATTCCAGTGGATGATTAATTTTTTTCCAAAAATTGTAGGTTTCATTTTGAGAAACGGCACTATGAGTGTTGATGGACATATGTAAACAAATAAACAAAAATTTATGAGAATACAGTCCAAAAAATAAGCCCAGTAGCAGAAGTGGTGTCATATTTCTTTGACATGATATTAAGTCACATTTATTGATTTTTCATTATATTTTAATTTACAAGGGTATAGTTATTGGAAATTGGTTGGGGAAACTGAATTCGTTTCGTTTAATTAGGAAATTTGGTTTATGAGCATATAAAATTTTGGTTCTCTATTGAAATAGGGTGGGGTGAACTTACCTAATGAAATGCAATACACGAGTTGCCTGGCAACTTGATAACCAGAAGATTACGAGTTGCTCCGACTGTTCCCCTGGCTCGGAGAAAACAACATATAGCAGAAAAGGTGAGGTAGCGGAGGAAAGAAAAAAGTTCTCTAATGAATGAAAAAAGAGTTCATTAGCTGTATAATATAATACTTTTCTGTTTTTCTAAATGGTTCATCAAAATTTTAATACATAAAAATTACATTTTAAGCTCATAATCTACATGAGATATCTCGACCTGATGTCCTTAGGAGAAACACTTCTCTTTAAAAAACTACAATATGCCTAAACGTTTATAGAGTGAGCTTTATATGTATTAACTGGAAACGATCTTCATCGGAACGAGACTAGTGTAACTGCCTACCGATCGTGTTTGGTATAAAGACTAGTGCCTTCTTTAATAAATGGTACATATCTTACGCCAATATAAGTTGAAATCGAAACTGCAGTTCCTAAAATAAGCGCGTACAACCTAACAAAACCTTAAGCTTTATATATGAAGTATTGATGTGATCAAATAAATTTATGTAAATCATAAACTTACAAAAAAAAATTAAAATTACTTATTATACGAATATATAAGATTTTTCCAAGTAAAGCAAAGATACATGTTTCTAACAGTGATTGGTCATAATGTACATACAGCAAATGTAACGGGTTATTTTTAACATTAGTAAACAATTGTAAGAGATATACTTAGTAGAAATCATCTATCTAATGAGAATATATGTTCCCTTAAAAATAGATGGATTAAACACTGTTTGGTGGAAAGGAATAAGCCTTGAGCAATCTCAAATTGGGGAAAGCAAATGCTAGCGAGCCATTCCCGCCTAGCAAACATGTACAGTCCGAAGTCAAACGATCTTGTGTTTATCATTTGAAATTGTTTTGACACATGTGACCGCTAGTTCTGCCCGGCACCAATCGATGCAACTGCTGCAAACCCTTCTATAACACATATTCAGATTCGGAACCAACTTAATTTGACGGAAATACTACCTTTCACGCAGTCAGAGGATTTCGGACGCCACCTTGATAAATCATAATTTCTTCAATAATATAAGATTTTTTAAATTATGAGGGGACGCGCAAGTTTGAGGGCTGGAGTCTATTATCAAAAGAATGGGCAGAGGAACAAAAAATGTATTTTTTCCAAGTAAGAGGAAACGATAGACAACTAGGAAGCATTGCAACTGGGTATACCAGTTATGAATAATTGTAGTATTAGCTGGGTATATTCAGTTAATGAAACAATTTATTAGTCCCTCAGTAAGACCAGGAGCTGAGCTGTCTGGTTTGTTTGAGTATGAAATGCAAAG